CCCCCCCCCCCCCCCCCCCCCCCCCCCCCCGCCACAGAGGAGAATCCCGGGAAATGCCCCCGGTACCGGGGACCGCCTCGGACATGCCTTTGGGAGAAACGGCCCGGCACTAGGTCCCCATTCCCCCGCCGGCGCCCAGCCCGCGCGGCGCGCCCCCACGCCCATGCAGCGTGCGTGCCAAAGGGAGGCCCTCCAGCTTGCGGTCAGCATGTTATGCCCATCCCCCCCCCCTGCCCAGAGAGAGCGAGTCTCCTGGTGCGGGGGGAGCTGCGCGGGCAGATGGTCTCAACCTCGAGTCCCTCTGCGCCCGGGCCGGCGGACCCGAGGATCGATGGCCGGCCAAGGGACGGCTTGGCACGGCGAACATGGTCGCCAGGCGGGGCCCCGGCGCGCCGCTTGCCGAGGCAGCCTGAGCCCCAGCCAACCCCCGTTGTCGAGGGCGCCCAGGCGTGCGGGACCCGAGGCCGGCCGGGGGGGGGGGGGCCCGTCCCCCGCGGCCGAGGAAGCCGCCGACGCCGGAGCCCCCCCCCCCCTTCGTCGGAGAGTGAGAACACCCAGGCGCCCGGGCCCCCTGGTCCTCCCCATAGAGCCCCCCCTCCTCCCCCCGGCTCTGGGAGAAGAGCCCCCTGATGAGGCAGGCTTCCCCACTCCGGGAAGGGCGTCCACCCCGGCGCCCCGCCCCCCCGCTCTCCCCTTCGAATGCCGGAAGGATGCGGGCGCATCCTTCCGTCCCCAAGAGGCTTGGTGCTCTCCCTCTCTCTCTCCCTCCCTCCCTCGCTCCCTCGCTCTTTTCGGGCTCGTAGATACCCTCGGTGGAGGGAGGCACAGAGCAGGGGGGGGGGGCACATCTTTCGGGTGAGACCACCAAAACCGCGCCTGTGGGAAGCGGGCGTTTTGTCCGTCTGCCACTGTACACGGCGGCCCGGAGCTCGCGATGCCTGGCGTCAGTCACGTCTGCCCAGGGGCTGGTAGGGCCGGAGGAGGCAACGCAAGGGGAGAGCGCTCTGGCCGGGCAGAGAAAGAGCGAAGCGACTCCCTTGGCCTGCCCCCCCCCCCCCCCCCCCCCCCCCCCTCTGTCCCTGCCGCCCTTGGCCCAAAGAGGCGCCCCGGTGGAGAGGCCCGTGCGCGGTCCTTTGCCCGGATCCCCCCCAGCGTCTGGCCTGGGGCGACCGGGCGCACATCGTGCGCTCGGCTGCAGCTAGCCAGTGTCCCTTGTTCAGGCCGACCCGCTGGCGCATGAGCACCTTCCCCCGGCTCCCCCGTTTCCGAAGGAGGATCCCCCCTCCGGCGTATCGCCCCTGTCGACCGGCCCAAGCAGGCTCGGGCGATGATAAGCGCGCCTCCCGGCCCCCCTCTCGGTCTGGGACCGGCGGCGTGCTGCAAATCCGGAATCACAATGATGGAATGCACGGAGGCATCCGCGATGGATACACCCGAACGCCGGGCCGCGAGACACGGCCGAGGGCCTGGACTAGTCACACCCTTACACACCAGCCCATGCGTGATCACATGAAGGAGTACCGAAAGGGCGTGGGGATTTCCCACTCAGGGGAGGCACATCCCAACGCCGGGTCTGTGATCATTCGTGATGACCCCCTCGCCGGACCGAGGAGCTTGGACAGAGAATTGGGACATCATACATCACCCGAAGAGTCACGCGCAGTCCGTGCCCGGGAAGGGGGCTGCCTGTGGTTTATTTGGGCACCGTTCCGGCAGGCCCGCGCCACACCACCTGCCCGCAGTAGACAGCTCTCCACACCTCCCCTCCTCCCTTTCCCCTCCCTCCCGCTTTCCCTCTCCCTCTCTCTGCCCCCCGCCCCCCTCCTCTCCTTGCCCCCTCTTTTACGGCCACCGCGAACTGCCCGCTCTCCCTTCCTGCCGCCGCCGTCGCAGAAGCAGAAGAAGATGACAAAGTACTACTGCGGTGCGTGTCTTCCTGCCACAGTCCATTGGCCAGGCACCTTTCCCCCCCTGTCCTTCTCTCTGTCTCCCCTTTTGTCCCTTGCCTCGCCCTATCTTTGTCCCTCTCCCTCTCGAGACGCATCGCATGTTGTTGTCGCTGGTTCCTCGCTCGCGCTCAAGGCTAACTTCCCCCCGTGCGGTGGCGGTCTCCCCTGCCCAGAATACTGCGACATCTCTTTGACGTACGATTCGCCATCCGTGCGCAAGTCTCACAACACCGGCTGGAAGCACCGCCAGACCGTCCGGAACTATTACGCCCGTGCGTGTGATCCGCCCCATCCGCCCCATCCGCCCCATCTGCCCCCTTTGCACCCTCCCTCACCCTGCCCCGTGCCACAATGGTGTACTGAAACTTGTCGCTCCCCTCGCCCCCCACCTGTGTCCAGGGCTCGTGGGTCGTCCGGATCTCGTGTGCCATGAGACCGGGCCCCCCAACAGCAGTCGCGCCAAGCGCAACCGTCGCGGTCGTACGGGCTCCCACCTTTCCACTTGCGCCCCTGGGCTTTCCGCAGATGGCTGACCCTTCCCATTCTCCTGTTCTGCTCCTTGCCTTCCTCTTGCTTCGTGTTCGGTCGCCGACTCCAGCCGACCGTGGCGATCGTGTACGCACATATCCCCCTCCCAGGGGGCATACACTTTTCATGGCATTCCCTTGCCCTCTCTCCCCCCTCCTCCCTTACCACCGGGGCAATTGCTAACCTCTTCCCTTGGTATCCACCCATCGCCAATCCCGCCCTCCTTCCCCCCCTTCCCGATCGCCGCCTCTCCAGGGCCGCGGAATGCACTTCGGTGGTGGTGGTGGCGGCGGCGGCGGCGGCGGTGGCGGCTTCCGTAATGACATGGGCTCCGGCGGTCGTATGATGCCGATGCACGGGATGGGGCCCGGCCCGATGGGCGACATGCCCCCGCCTGGGGGCCCGTTCATGTTTGGCGGCCCGCCGCCGCCGCACATGGGCGGGATGTTCATGCCGCCGCCGCCGCCGCATGGGTTCCCCCCGCCGGGGCCACCGCCGCCGCACGGGGCCCACGGGCATGACCAGGGCCCGCCGGGGGCCTGGGCCCCTCCTCCGGGAGCTTGGGCCGGTGGGCCGCTGGCTGCCCCGTCGCAGGGTGCCTTCCCGCCGCCGGCGCTGGCGCCGGCGTCCTCATCGGCGCCGCCCCAGTGACAGTGGCTGGCATTTGGCTCCTTCCCCCCCGCCGCCGCGCACATGCACGCGCGTGCGCCGTTGCCCATGTAACCCTTTTCTTTCTCTTCCTCTCCTTTTCTCCGTCGTCCCCTCAATACTTGTCTTCCTTTTTGTCTCCCCCCTCTCTTCCCCGGTGCGTGGGCGCGGCCAAAACACAGGATCTTTCAGGGAGGGGGGGGGGGAGCTGGAGCTGGGAAAGGAGTGCTTGTGTATTCGGGGGTAAATAGGGTAAAAAAGGAGGGCGAGGAGGGGGGTGGGGGG